TCCATGCTTTTTTTCGACGCCATTATACTGTCATGAATAATTCCGTGGAGCGTCGAGTGGTCACGTGACAAATTATGAGGCGCGTACAATTTAATTCTTTTTTATTGATAGGCGCGCATTTCTTTGCGCTGCTCTTCACCATTTTAGGCGCGTGGTGGCGTGCACGCGCAATTTCGCACCTTAAAGGACAAGCCCTGGAATAGTACTAAAATATCCTCCGAGAGCAACTTCTCCCAACCATCAAAGAACTGTTTATTGATGAACAATGCCTTTTCTAGCATGATGGAGCACTGTGCCATAAGGCAAAAGTGACTTGGGGAACAAAACATTGGCATGCAAAAATAAATGGCTTTTTCAAGGCAGAGAAAAGGACAAAAAGACGAAGAACACTTCCAAAAAGAGCAATAATTTGCATGCTGTCAGTGAAAAATCTGATGACGAGATTGACACAGGACTCGGTAGCATTGAAATTTTCGGTATAAAAGCTGACAAAAGACGAGCAATATTGCACTGACCGGAAGTGAATGGTAAATGGATTAAAACGGAATTGGACACCAGCTCTGCTGTATCAGTCATTCCTCATCTGAGTCTGAAGAACACTTTAAAGATGCTGATTTGAAGCCTGCAGACATCCAGTTAAGAACTTAAACTGGAGAAAAGATTATTCCCATTGGATGGATCCTGTGACGGTAAAATACAACAACCAGCAAGCCAATACGGACTTGTATGTGGTAAAGACAGAGGGACCAGCATTGTGGGGTCGTGATTGGCTGCGACATATACAGCTATATTGGAGATCCATCAACAGTCTACATGCTGTATCCCCTGGAAGAGTCAGCGGACAGCAAACTGCGCAAAGTACTGGATGATGCCTCTGCAGTATTCAAGTCTGGCATTCACAAGTGAAAACATATCAAAGGTAAAATAGTGTTAAATGAAAGCGCTGCACTGAAGTTTCACAAAGCCTATCCAGTTCCTCATGCCATCTGTCAGTGATATGGAAGTGCAATAATCACAAGAAATTTTGCTAACGTTTTTGCTGCACATTTTTGTTTTATTGCTAAGAATAAACGCATCAAGTGGATGGGAATATAATTAGTGTCAGGTGGCAGTTACCGTTCTCCAGCATGCCTCCGGCTCTCACACCCTTTAGACCCGTGTTTCCTACACTCTAAAAAGTAATTCAGAGGCTTAGTAAATACTGTATCACTATAAATATGTTAGATGACCTCTGAATATCACTTAAGTAATTATTTGAGTTGGATATATTGAAATAAATGTCTAAAAATTTAAACTAATTTAAATTAAGGTATTTATTTACATTTATTTCAGAGAAAAATTTCAGTATTTGGTTCTAAGAATAGCTTTTTAACATGTACGTAATGTTTTGTTTTGAAACTGAATCAAAATATTTGAGAAATAGGTATCTATACTTATCAGTATCTTGGACTAAAATCGCTATTATTCAAATCAATATTATTTATCTTCAACAACAACAACAACTTAAAAGTTTAAGTAAAACGTGATAACGTAGATTAATTGATTATTAATGCGCGGGGGAAAACGCGCAGCCTCACGGGAAATTTTCATTTCTGCACAACGACGGCTAACGGACACAAACTCACGGCGGAGCCACCCGGAAAACTATGGCGTTATATTAGTGCCACATTCCCGAGCGCGCAGAAGGACATTCGCGAGCAATGTTTTTGCTCTATGCGTGCTCAACTCGGCCACCGCGCTCTCGCTCACAGCGTCTCTCTTGCTCAGCTTGGCGCACACGCACGCTCAACCTGTCCTACGCGCGCTCAACTCGGCCACCGCGCTCTCGCTCACAGTGTGTCTCTCGCTCAGCTTGGCGCACACGCACGCTCAACCTGTCCTACGCGCGCTCAACTCGGCCACCGCGCTCTCGCTCACAGTGTGTCTCTCGCTCAGCTTGGCGCACACGCACGCTCAACCTGTCCTACGC